AGCACACAAGATCCGTTTCTGTGTTGAGCCAAGTTGACAATTTCGGGTAACAACGAGATACGCGTCCCAAGAAGGGAATGCGGCTCAGGAGTTTCAAGCCGGCCACAACGAGCGTCTCCGACGAGAGACAAAGCCGAGTGACAGGAAAATCTCGACTTTCCTCTCTCCCTCGCTTCCCACTATTCCCGCTGGATTAAATTTGCTTCTCAGCCCACGAATAGCCAGAAAGCACATGGGATCCTACCTTGGCCCTCCGAATGACACCGCGGACGACAAAAGCACAGCGGAGGCAAAATAAGTCATCGAACGATGAGAGACACGGTCCAAAGCTGTGCGTTGTGTCGCAATTGCTCAGCCAGAGGTCTCATCAAGTCTACGATTCTACAGGCACTGAGGGAAGCTGGACGGGCCCCTTTACATGCTTTGACATTGCGCGAGTTCGGCCCCCAGCAGAACACCGATGGTTCAAACAAGGCCACTTTGCGGTCTGGAGCGACAAGGTCTTACATTGGGAGCACTAAGAGTAAACATTACGCCGAACAAGGGCGGGCGAAGGAATGAGATGGCGATGGACGGTTAGAAGTCATCGTCGGGCTCGAACTCGGGCAAGGCTGACTATCTGTCGTGTCTGTTTCTCGTTGAACTCACCGCTACCACCGTCGACGACTTAGTACATCATGATGCACAGACCGATGGTGGCGATTCCAGCAAGCTACGTTACTCTCCGTTCATCCTACTCGTCGACTGATCATCGGGCTCCCTGGATTTTCGGTGCAGGGATTGATCTGGCTCCAGCACTTTGGTCTCGAGGGACAAAAGCAGACCTTCTATTACCAATCGCCGATGGACGTTCTGAAGACCGGGGGGGGGGGGGGGAAGATGGCAGATGAGAGCTCTCACAGAACAAGGCCTTTCCTTGCAGTAGTAACGCTCACACAACACCCCCTTCGCCCTCTGCTTTCGCGCTCCTCTAGGACCGGCTCGCTCCGTTGATCGAGGGTGTCGATGCCTCGTCGAGACTACTGTACGTATGTACATATCTCTCGAGACCCTCGATATGTTATCAGTGTCACCGTATCGGCGTGTGGACGTGGCGGACGTGCACCAATCAATGGGGGTCGGGTCAATTCGGTCTCGGCTCGTGTTGGCCCGATACGTACACGTCAAGGATATTAATCGAGACACATGGCCAGGGGATCGAATGCAACGGCTGTCGGTGTTTCGCGTTGCTCTTCGTGAAATACAAGACTCAATATCGCAGTGACAGACGAAAGCATCGCATCGGTGGAATCGGAGAAAAGGACTGAGGAAAATATACAACTTGCGCCACGGTAACCTCGATATATTCCGCTGTCCAGTATATGCAAACTTCCTGGGGAAGGGATCCTGTTCCTTGCCTTCAAGACCACATTCCATGACCCTTGGCCTTCCCATGACGCCGTCCCATGCTCCCCCATCCCAACTAAATGCTTCCAACCCGTGGAAGAATAAAAGAGGACAGATGCGGCCGTCCCATAAAAGCATGTTCAAAAAGAAGAGTATGTCGATGGTGTCGAAAGGCGTAGTCCTCACCCAACCCCGAATTCCCCGGGGGGTTCTGGATTCCGCTCGCCCTCAAGGAACACTATGAGGGCGGTGCACATGAATGTTCCAACCTCAAGGCTCAAGGCTCGGGGAGCTGGCTCTCGGGCGTGCTCATTCAGCCCTGGTAGACGTGGAGGAGAGCTTCCGAAATGTAGGTCCAGCAAAGCCGTTTGTGCTGTATGATTGCGGGTCGAGTCGTCGCACGGGTCGGGTGTGTGCGCTTCGACATAACCTGCGCCTGACATCCGCTCCTTGTATATTTCCCTTGGTATTGTGCTTGACTGCAGTTCCTCCCTTCTTTCCCTCTCCTTTCGCCAGACCTCCCACTCTCTCTTCATACACCTCGGCCTATCCAGCTGAAAATAACCAAACCCCTTGAATATCCTGGTTGTTCTGCCAATGCATAGAAAACAGATCTTTGCTTTTCTAAGATTCCCAAAAGACCAAACCCGTACTTTTCAACCCTCGCCTAGGGCTCGTCTTCATTTTTAACAGCCTGATACTCATTACCCCTCCTCTTCAATCTATCCCCTGTCGTAGGTGTCGGTTTATCCACTCGCAACACCCAGCAAAGTATATCCTCGGCCGGCAACAAAAACATCCAAATTCTATTGCAACAGAAGCTCAAGGTAGTCGTACACATGGCAACCGCGGCATCCAACCAATAATGATTCGCTGTGGCCACAATAACCGTCAAGACCAACAAAGGATAGCAGATGCCTGCAACAAGAAAGAAGATCTGAGCGTAAAATGGCTTGCGTGGTTCGCTCCGCTGGGCGCGACGGAACACGCCAGAATGGTAGAGGAATGTACTGCCGACACAGAACGCGTAGGTAAAATGTAAAGAAGGCATGGCGGCCAATTGATTGACGTAGTTGCCGCCGACCCAAACAGACTCGGCGTTTGCTTGACGCACTGTATCGTGGAAGCCGAATTCCTTGGGTAAGAGACGGGGTGGCATGCATGGGAAGAAGGTGAATATTGTGAAAGCGGCAAAGTTACCCAGCGTCATTGTCCGGCGGACGGCGGCGAAAGCTGAGTGTGTAGGCGCTGCATAGTAGTACCACGAAAGAAAGCTGGGGAAAGATTAGCGGGGGAGGGAGAGAGACATGGGAAGAGGGATCACATACGCGACAGTACCAGGAATATGAACAAGCGAGTAAATGCGGTTTAAAAATGTGATGGCGGTCAAATGACCGTTCAAGAACCAAGCCTGGAAGTCATTCTCTCTGATAGGGAACAGGAAGCTCAACCACGACTTATGCTCAATGTCGAGGACCAGGATGCCATGATCTTGGGCCAGCTGCCATAGACCCTCGTCAGCGGAGAACAGGACTTGAGCGAGGGCCTTGGTCAGGCTGTAGAACAGCAGATTGAGAACCCAATAGAACATTTCGATCAAGAAGGGAAACTTGGCCAAGACTCGGGAGTGCCAATTGTCGGCGAATCTGGACGAATTGGGGGTCTGGACGATGACACCGCAGCAGTTTCGCTTCTTGGGCGGATGTTTGGATGACGTGAAGACATCCGAGTCGGAGGTGAGGGAGTCGGAATCGGTGAAGCCATCGGGAGAGGAGCCTTGGGAATTGTTGTGCGGGAGCAGAGAGCGAGTCGGGGAGCGGCCTCGGCGAGATTGAAATATGCGATAGTTGTGTCTCCGATTAAAGTAAAGTGAAGCGGTCATGATACTGACGACAATCTGGGTAGGTCAGCAGGGAACCATTGGAGCATATGAAACATGGGTATTGAACGGACAATTGGTTCCATCCAGGTATGGGAAGCGAACTGGGCGCCACCCATGTCGGGCTGAGCGGCCTCAGCGGCCTCGGTGACGTTGAAAGGCATCGAGGCCATTGGTGATGGGTTAATCGAGGCGAGATGATCGAAGAAGAGGTCTAAGTCATAGATCTGGATGGCCGTCGAGAAGGAGTGAGCCGACGTGAGGTGTCGCGTGTCCACCAGGAGCTGGTCACGTGCGATTGAAAAGTCGACGACAGGCAGTGTTACACCCGTCCACCACGCGTCAAGCGGACCTAAAAGGAGTGACCGAGGGAGATACTGCTATCGACAAGTGGCGGATCGTGTTTCAGACCAGAGCGGGCGGAGGGTGGAAGAAGAGGGCCGAACAATCCGGGACCTCAGGCAACTCGAGACGTGTGGGAGGGCACCGTAAGTTGACGGAGGACGCCAGAGAAGCTTGGATCGAAGGGAAGAAAAGGCGAGTAGGGGGAGGAAGTAAAACAAGATGAAGAAGATCCGGAATGGAAAAGAGAGAACAAAAACAAGATGGACAAGGAGGAGAAGACTAGGACGAGGATGGAGATGGGGAGGATGATGATGACGATGGAGGATGGTGTGAGTAGCAAGAGGGAGAGAGGGAAGAAACGAGAAAGGTGAGGAAGAGGGAATTCTGTGCCTGGAGGGAAAAGGGAAAGAGATCAGAAGCAGAGTGTACCAAGTAAAGAGTCTCACCAAGAGACACGCAACACAGGTACGCGAGAAAAAAGGATCGTATGTCGTAGTCGCATGTAGCAGGCGTCAGTTCAAAGTTGGAGGTTTTCCCTTTCTCCTGCAGCGGCAAAGAGGCTGAGTCGATGGTGCCGCCTAGTGGCCCCCCCAAACAGGTGGTGGTTGATTTGATCTCAGGAGAAAAAGCCACCGAGCGGCCCCGGGCTGCCAATGCTGGTAGGGCAGGTGGAGAGTTTAGGCTCGCCAGGCCCCGGAGAGCGGGCACCGAGAAGGGAGGAGGGGCCCTAGACAGCCAACAGAGCCTAGGGAGATGGTGCTTGGTGTCACCTTGGCCGCATCAATGTCAGCATCGCCGTCAATCACCTCAGTGGAAAGTGGAAGGCCGGATATTGGCTGACGAGTGCGGAAGTCCTCTTTGCGGTTAATGGGCTCCGGCCACCCCTTGGACCATTTTACCACGACATACGGCCACGGAACCCGCCAGCATCCAGAACTCTTGCACAAGCACAAATGCCATAACATTATCTCCGTATTATTCTCGGTCTCAGCCTCTTCAGGCGGCTGCATCTCGTATTCGCCTGCCAGACAATGGACCCCCCCGCCAACCATACTACTCACGGAAGTACATCGCCTGCTCACCATGCAGTGTGCACACCTAGTCAGCAGCTTCCACCTTTGCATAATCGGCCTTTTACTCTATTCGATTCTTCACATGACGTCTGGGAAAGCAAACAAGGCCCGCCGCGACTCAGCATCTCTACCATGGCCGACCGCCGTCTCATGCAGTGCTCGTTAATTCTTCTAATCATCATCGTCGTCTCCCTAACTCGTGATACGACGTCCAAGTAGGTATACCCATGAGAAATGCTCTAGGAAATGGGGAAATGGGGAAGGGGAAATGGAAAATAAAATCGACCCATCCCCCCCCAAACGCCGCTCACAGCGGCTCAACTCGCCGTCAGGTCGGCCGACACAAAGCGTCGGACGTCGCGATATTTGCCCTTCTGCGCCTTGTGGTTGTGGCCCGCCACCTTTCGAGGACTTGACATGCCTGAACTTCCAATCCCACGCATGATCATCGGCAACGCGTCCAACACCTGCTTATTGCCTTCAAAGTAGTGGTTGACAAACCCACCGCCGAGAAGCCTGCGGATCGCGTTCAGCCGCATCAGCTTCCACCACTTGTCCACCCGCATCTCGCCTTCCCGATGAACCCGCACCACCATCTTGGAGGCATTGTTAGACTGGAGCCCCAGCCGTGGGTCTTGGACCGTCAAAGCAATGCTGGCAAAAGATTGATGTAGGGCCTTCTTGTCTCGTCGATTCATCGACTTGGTGCTGAGCGATGCAAGCGCCGTCACCTTGTCCATCACCTCATGCGTGTTATGATACGGGTTGTACCGTTTGACCAGGTAGGATCGCACGTGAGGCCGGTCGTGGGGCAGTTCGTCTTCCGGTATGATCTCCTCGTCCGACGACGACGACTCGTCGTCTTCCTCGCGTGGCGTGTAGCATTTCTCATACAGTAGAGCAATGTTCTCGCCCGCCGAGACTTGAACTTTGATGTCATCTGCGTCCAGCTGGTCGAGAAATGTCGCAATGGCGTCCTCCGACTCCTGCTCGACGTCTTCCACTTGGGTCGCCAGGAATCCGTACGTGTTCAAGGCTGCGGTGACAACTTCAGCACTGTCATCAGCGTCAACAAACGCTCCATCACTCGAGGCAATCTCAAGTAAGAAAGTCATGACGTCCAAAATCTCTTCATCTCCCGCGCCACCGAAAGATATGCAGATCCCAATGGTATAGATTGCCGCAGCCTTGACCGACGTTGATCGAGAATCGGAGATGGTCCGTTTCAAGGATGGTGCGACCGTGTCATAGATGCTGCCATCGGCGAACGTGATGGCAGTAAGTGCCATGGCTCTCAAGGCCAATGTTGTTTCTTTCTCGCTGGTTTCTGCTTTGATGCTTCGACCAAACGCCACAAGGAGGTCGTGGACTCGACCATAGAGAACCTCGGCCAGATAGTGCGAGGTCAAGCATTTGACATATGTAGTCAATGCATCTTCCCGGCTCTTGTGGCTGCTCCCTTTCCGATCCAGCAGTTCCGAGATCACGTCATTCAACTCTTGCCGAGCGGCATCCGAGGTCTGCTCATTGATGTCGTCGGTTTCGAGGAGGGCATCGATCGAATTGATACTAGACGTCACCAGTGTCAGCTCGCATCTGATGGCATGTCGGCCGCATGATGAGATGGGTCGTGCAACTCACCTTTGGGTGGTGTCGTCACTGAGATTGCCCTTGTCAAAATCCTCGTCGTCCGACACATCTCGGCTCTGAATGCGAGAAGCGCTACGCGAGTTGGGAGCCGAATTGCCGCGTGAACTCCCTCTTGACGACTGCTTGGATTTGGCCTTGTTTGAGACGGTCTTGCCGCTCTCGAGGGCTCTTCGGCGCAAGTCTTCATGCATGTTGCTCGCCGCGAGGGTGTTCTAGTGAGAGCGCAAATATAACAGTATTCTTCTTGGCGTCAAATGGAATGGTTTGATGTGCTGGTGTGACTGCAAACTGCCGAGGAGGGGGGTTTGGGGTCACCCTTTGGGTCGCGAGGCTCGATATTTGGACAGGTGATGTGGAGGGAGTCGTTGAATTTCCATGTGGGAGGGATTCACGCAGTTTAACAGCAAGGGAGTCAGAGAGGTCCTCGGGGGGTCAAGTAGAAACCCACAGGGACTTTAGGGTCAGTGGCAGACAAAAAATGTTAAATAGGACAGCGCAGTCTAGGAAGCGGTGACAAAAGTGATGGGCAACCGAAGAAATGTGGAGGAATTTTGGGACGGGAATGGCCAGGACTCAGCTGGGCAATCTGGACCTGCGGAGGGCCAGGGCTACTTACTTAGCCGCGGCACCAACGGGAGGAGAAGGGAGAGTGAGGTAAGGGGGGCACAGTGGGCAACCTGGGAACGGAACGAACAAGAGGGAGGACCTTGCCAGCACATTGCCAACTGGTATTCGTACTCGTCACCAGTCACCATCGTAGGAAGACCATTAGTCCGTTAGGTACTCGGTACCCAGTCCAACATCATGACATCCATGCGTCGCCTACGGCCAGCCTAGTGAGCCACTGACGAGTGAGACTGCCAACTCCGGTTTGACCCGCCATCTGCTCTTGTCTTCCCCAGGCGACCCAGCCGATCAGAACTACTCCGGCCATACCACTCCCCACACAGCCGAATATAACCTCATGGTCCGGATTCCTATCTTTGCCATTATGACGACAGGCCTGTTCGACCCCTACACCCTACGTGCTCGCAGCTGTCGTCCGTGCCGCCTCCAATGACACAACCGCGTGATATCCGGGTGCCCCTTCTCATAAAAACTCTGACAAAAGCGATTGAAGCACTCATCGCACGCAGTAGGAGAATACATTTCATTCGACTCGTGCAACAGTTGCCATGCGATCCGTCCTAGGGGTATCGCAGGTTCCATTGAGTGATTGTTCCATGTCAAGGGGAGCTGCGATAACTCTGCCTGGTCACCAAGGAAAAGAAAAGATCGAAGTACTTCGACAATCCCCACAACCACGCCCTCACTCACGCCCAATTCAGCTGTCCAAAAAAAGAAAACAACCCGCCCTACCCACCTTGCATATTCCTCGGTGATGTTGTTTTGCTTTCATTCTGTGCCCCCACAAGAGATGGACCTTCAACGTTGTGCATCCCGCTCTCGTTGCCGTAGTCTGGTTGATACCCCGTACAATCCTAGCAACGTCCTTTGCCTGCTGCTTCACTTACCCCCGGATGTTTGTCCGTCCATCAGCAGATCCTCGTCGCTGGCGTCCAAGATATCGTACTCCTCGTCCGTCAAGAATTCATCTTCGTCGCTGTTGGACTCTTCGAGCTCGAGACTTTCAACATCTTCAAGAAGTTCGTGTTCCCCCGTCTTGATCGTGGGCTCCATCACTGCCGCTGGAGCTTCTTCCACCGGTGCTTCACGGACATCGTGCACGCTGGAGATGGGTGACTCCTTCTCTAGCTTAGGGAAGATCATGGTCGAGCTGTCTTGCGACGTGTCGCCGTCACCTTCTTTCGGCTCGTCGACTGTCTCCAGTGTGACAGGAGTGGGAGGCAAGATGTGCGAGCGAATGGGCAATTCAACAGGAGTAGAACGAACCTCGATGTCGACCCAAAGCTTGTGGCCGAATGGAATTCCACCTGGAGTTTTGAGACGCCAGTAAGAGATGGCTCGTCCTTCACGAGCTGGCGACTTCAGAAGAACGGTAAAGACTCCTGTCTTGCCAGGCTCCACAGGAGATGCCAAGGCGTTGCTGCGGTTGGCCATTGCCATCGCAGTCGTGCTGGATGGATGAAGAACATCGAGATTCCGCATATCATCACCACCAATGTAGTAGACGGCGCAGCCGGCTGGCCAGGCCTCGGGGCCTGGATTACGCAAGGTCCAGGATTGAGAGATGAAGTGGTTGGGAGGGAATCTCGAGCCATCTGGGGTCGAATCGGTGACGTACCAGGCTTGAAGATCGCTAGTGACTTGATTTGCAGACGTCGCATTGTTGGGCTTAGCAATCTCAACCATTGCCGGAGCGGTCTCAACAGGATCGACTTCGGCAACAGTCTGAACTTGCGTCGCAGCATTGGCAGAGGTAGATCGATTGGTCTCAGTAGCCGCGTTCTTCGCCATTGGGCGGTCACCCAACTGGGCGATCTGTTGACCGAGCTCGTTCTCTTGATGAGTCCGGATTGACACGTGTCGGATGGGCTGCCTGAACTTGATCAAAGGATGAGATGGATTGTGCGGGTTGTTGGGCCAAGCTTCGCAGTTTGCGCAGAAGTCAGTGTCGTGGCAGACAACACACTTGTATCGATCACCGGTGATGTAACGCTTGTAAGATGTGCACAGTGGTCCGTCACAATAGATCCCACGATGGATGTGCTTGGTAGTGTTCACTACCTTGATAGGCACGTAGATAGGCGCGAAGCGGTGCCCGGAGTGTTTCTCATCAGCAAAACCAAAGCATGTGGAGCAATAGTCGAAGTCTGGGCATGTCAAGCACTTGTGACGGATACCATAAATGGCCTACAACAGATGTCAGATCCGTAAGTGGGAGAAATAGGTGTAAACTCACCCGATTGCAGCCATCGCAAATAGCTTCATGACGGACGCCACGTCCAGGACCGCACAAAGCTTTGATGGCCGGCTCGTCTTTCAATGCGTCGGGATCTCGTGCCTCGAAGCTATGAGATGGGTCATGGCCGTGTTCACCATCCTGCATACAGGAGAGGCAGAGGTCGTAATCGGGACATTCCTGACAGGTGACAAATTCACGGGCCGGCATTTCTAAGACATTGTCAGTGCTCGACATACTTGTGTGTTCGTGTCTGCACCTACGGGAAATGCATGAATTGCAAGTGAGCTCTGTATCGTCGTGCTCCGGACTGATGGGCGTGGTCAACTCGCTGGAGGAACCAGCAGCCGCCTTGGACAGTTTCTTGGGGGGAAGAGTCTCGGTGGTGCTGGTGACGACCATTCCGTTACGGATGGTTCGTTTCAACAACCAGTGCTCCTCACCGTCGCAGGTGATTCCAGCGTCAATGCAGGGCTTGCAGAGATCAAAGTCACCGCCCTCGCAGATACCACAGTGATAATGTTCGTCTGGAACAGGCATGCCACAATGGTTGCAGTCGATTGTGTATGAGGTGGAAGGGAAGTCATTCATGGAAGGAAGAGTAGGCAAACTGTACACGTCGCTTTGATTGCCTTGAGGATTGTTGACAGCCTGTTCCGTGCCGGAAGTGTTGACATCGAGATCAAAGGCTCCTGGAATGGCGCATTTGGGAGAGTATTGGCAGGTCTTCTGAAAAGCCTTGAAGGAGGGTGCCGCACTGTTGCCCACCGGCTGAGAGAGAACAGTCTCAAGGAAGTTGTTCCTCGGCTCAGGGTGGGAGTCGGCACTGTCCTTCACAACAGATTTGTTCTGGGCCATGTCAATGTCTTGGGCGAGGCTGTCTCTTGCAGGTTTTCCCTCAACGGTCGCCCTCAAACGTAGCTTGAGCTTCGCCTTCGCTGCCCGATAGAGTTGCTTGTAGATGGCAGGGTCGTTGCTATCAAGCGTAATGTACCTTGCCTGAGAATCTGAGAATCGGTCGAAGCGAACGTCTTGTTCCGGAGGAATGGCAAGCAGGGTTCGGAGCTACAGATGTGAGGAAGCGTTAGCTCTCTCTTCACTCGAGCGTCGTAGTCCGAAGCAGGGTTAAGTGACCCAAGTTACAGCCGAGGGAGGTTCAATTCTCAGGCTGACACGGATAGATAGATCTACGCACCTTTTGTGGGAGCACGTTGGCACCGAGATCCCGCAGAGCGAGTTTGAATCTTCTGTTTGTCCCGTCGATGATGACCTTGACCGTGATAAGAGTGTCAGGGCCCACGGGGCCTATGTGAGGATGAGGTGTAGCCATGATTGGTGATAAGGAAACACTGGGGTAGGCGGTGTCAGGTAGGTTTGACCGTAGCACCCTGCGGGCAGGTTGCAAAGAGTCGGTCAGATCGGGTGCGAGAAAACCCTCAAAAAGTAGCGGTCATGAAGAGGGTATATCTCCCTATATGTTTCGAGAAGACACAGGAAGATTGGGATGAGGACGCAAAGGAGGTCAGGGTGATGGGACGGGAGGTCGTGGAAGGTGGTCAAACAGACAGGCCGTCGAGAGATGACGGGTGCAGTGGAAAGCTCGCAGCCTGGCTGAGGCAATCAGTCAGTCCCCGTCGAGGCGGGGAAGAGCAAGAGACCGGGACAACCTCTTCACCTTGGCCTCTCGACCCTCTCGGCCTCACTCCACTGCATCCACGTGACGCCAGTGCACAGGCAGCACCAAATCAAAATTCAAATGGCTCCGATGGCACCCAAATGGCACCGGCAAGGCGGATGCCGGTCTCGCCGCTACGATTCACCACTACATTTCTCGTCCAAAGTCCATTCCTCACCGGTTGCTCGCTCTGCTACTGCTTTGCTAGTACAGACCTTGTCAAAGCTTTCGACAGACAAAAGCACATCCGCGCCCAGACAATCATCGCCTCTGTCAAGTATTACGGAGCACAGCCAAACCTGAGCATAGAATCCTCCTTTCATTCTTCCTAGCAAAAGAAAACCCGCTTTCAGAGGCAGAACTACCTTCGTCCACCCATGCGGCCTTGGACGAGCCTCGACCATCTTCGGGTAGATCGCTGACAGCCTCGTCTTGACGATTCGAAAATCCACTCAACCAGCACCTCGTACCACTCCCAAATCGACAGGTGGATCCGTAAACAGCCTTCAAGCTTTTCCTTTTCTTTCTGTGGCCTTGTTGTGCCCACGACTTGAGAACTCTAACAATCATCGACAAGTTCTCTTTTTAACCACGAGATATAATGTACATGAAGAATATGGTAAAAGATATCTCGAAGCCATGATGAAGGAAAA